AGCTCTCTTGAATCAAGCAAGACGATTGACTGGGCAGTCCCACAAACCCAGCTGGGGAGAACATTTTCCTTCTTGTATTTAGAAGCAAACACTCTAAATGTGATTCCTCAGAGTTGTAGCATCTCTAGTTGGTTTAATCTGGCCTGTGGGCACTCAGTACTACTGGTGAAGATTTGGGGGTTCAGAGGTGCTTGGTGGAATCCTAGGAGCAGAAGCAGGTACTCAAATATTTAAGTGTTCCTCTTTGGTAGTAATAATTCCTTAGACTCTTCCAGGCCTACTATTCATCCTGGGAATTTGTCCTTTACCTTAAAGCTGCAGCTTTTCACTGGGATTGGACAAAGAACCACTTAAGAAGGGTTAATGCTCATTTCTGGTAAAACCTTTTCTGGTCAGTCCTACCAGAAGCCCAAATCTGGCTGTTGTCTAAAACTCCCAGTTTCAGGAAATCAGGAGGAGTCTGTCTTGGGGCAGCTAACAATACTGAGGCCAAAGGGGCAAGGGACTTGGAGAGATTTTTGCAAGTGACCTGTGCTGTCTAGTAAGAAAGAGCTGGATGAAAAACAGGGATAGGTTACCAGGGAGGGCTTGTGGGAGTCAGCTCTGGACATTCAAAATACTCCAATTTGCATAATATTTTATGATTGTGAAATACACTGGACCCCCACAGTCATCCTGCTAAGTATTAACCTCACAGTGGAAAACAAACAAACCAGCCCTGCAGCCTGGAGCCTGATTTTGCTTAAACTCTTAAAGCGCGTCAGTGACACAGTCGGGGCTGGACCCCAGCTCTTCCTCACTTTTTCTCCCTAGGTACTTTCCAGTTAATCATTATGATGGAATATGGGCATTCCCCAACCCAAGCGAGGGAGGGAAGGAAGGAAAGCAGAGACAGAGAGAAAGGCTCCAGAGAGTCTAGGATGACTCTCCTAACATGTCAAAAAAAAAAAAAAAACCCTCCAGAATGTAATCTCCCACCTTTTCCTCCACTGCTCCAAGCTGATCTGTTACATCAGGCCAGCCTGATATGGACCATGAGAATACTCCTTTTCACCTTAAAGAATAATGCGAACAGCTCCATGCTCCTTGCCTGGCCTTCTCTCTGGAGGGGCGAAGGGGCTTCTTGGTGCTGCAAGGGTGACTTGTCTGAAGGGCTAGCCCTAACCCTGCTGTACAATGACCCTCGTGCCTTTGTCACATGTCCCTATGTGAGGCTTGTGGCATTTTAACTATTTGTCTATTCCTAGATTAATGCTAATGGTTGTGAATATTCTTTTTCTATGTTCTTCACCCTTGCCTGTCCTGGTCCTTGTCCCCCACTCCAGAGAACAGTGTCCTGAGAGGGAGAGTGACCACTGGCTTTGGAGCCCTGGCATTAATGCCCCTCTCCCCTGGCCTCCCCCTTATACCTCAAGAGATCCACATTTCTTTTCTATAACATATGGGCATACTTTGAGAGGATCTGGTAGTGAATGTGGTGGAACCCTCGGTGTCCATCTCCCTTCAGGAATTGCCCCAAGGGCTCACAGGTCAGAGTTGTTCCTATTATGATAGCTAATACTTATTTAGCACTTTAAGGTCGGCAAAGGCACTTTACCTGCATTTCCTCATCTCGTCTTCAGGATCCTATGAGCTAAGGGATGTTATCCCCATTTCTTTTGGTAGATGGGAAACTGAGGTGGAAAGAGGTTGTGAGTGACTTGTCGAGGGCCATGGAGGTAGTGTCTGAATCAAGACTTGAACTCAGCTCTTTGTGACTTCAGGTTTAGCATTCTATCCATTACACCACTAAGCTCCCTCTTTGAAGCAAGTGATCTGTCTTGGGGCCTTTCTACCTCTCCTTGCATTATATTACTTTCCCTTCTTGTCCTCCCCAAACAATGCCTCCTTCCCGTCCCCCCAACTCTTCCTTGTAGCCCAGTTCAGTGAAGCCCACCCTGCCAGGAGAGTGCTTTGAACTCTACCATTTCCCCTTCAAAGCCTGAACTAGACTATCTTGCCACTGGACAGGAGACTGGACTAATTCATAGCGAAGTGTTAGTAACTCCTAATAGCTTAATGTGTTACCTCTCTGGGTGTACTCGTATTTTGAGTTTTGCCTTAACCTAAAGGTAAGAATCTCTAACAACAGGCAGTCAGATACCATTGGCTGGTCTTTTGAAAGAGGATGTGGACTTTCCTGGCATCCTTAAAATTCCACAATGTAGGCAGTTACCTCCTCTGCCTAGCCTAAGGACAGCCCCACTCTCTATTAACTTGATTCCCTCTCTGAACATCGTTTCTTGCCAGGCTGATGATGATTGATTTGCCAGAGATTATCTGAAGAGCCAGCCACTTAGCTACCATCAAGACAAAACTGAACAGACAGGTTCTGTCCATCGTGGTTTGTGACCCAGCACCCATCTTTCTAGGACTTGAATAACTTGAATAATGACATCCCAGTGAAGGCCAGTCGCAGCTGGAGTGATGTCCCTCAAGGCTAACACTTGTTAGGACAGCAACCAAGTCACCTTTCAAGATTCAGCATCCTCCCTTCCTGCTCTTTCATCATGTCTACAGTGGTAACTGGGATTGGCAGGTGATCTTTCTACTGAAGGGATGGATTTTTCCTGTTTGGCTTTGAAGGCCAATGCCTTACAAGGGGGCTTATATAAGAGCACTGTTACTGTGTTGGGAGGAGGAGGAAGCAGGATTATCTCTATCATTGTGTCCAGAGAGCCCCCATAATCCTGTCTGTAAAGGCTGAGCCTCTCATTGTAGATGTTAATGGCAAACAGGCAAAACTGGCTTTCAACCTGGAGAGAAAGAAGGCAGGCCTACACTCTTGAAACTAGGGTCCTGGCTTGTGGGGGTTGGGAGGAGATGAGTATTTAAGTTAGAAAAGCACGGAGTCCTTCAATTTGTCATTTTTGTTGTGTAGTCATTTTCATTCGTGTCTGACTCTTTGTGACCCCATTTGGGGTTTTCTTGGCAAAGATACTGGAGTGGTTTGGCATTTCCTTCTCCAGATCACTTTATGGATGAGAAAAATGAGGCAAACAGGGTTAAACGACTTGCCCAGGGTTATAGAGCTAGTGTCTTGAGGCTGGATTTGAACTCGAGTCTTTCTGATTCCAGGCCCAGCACTCTATCCACCGTACCACTTAGCTGCTCTCAGTTTGTCATAAGGAAGCTGAAAAAACTCTAACAAAGATGGTTAATCTGAGTTCTGCTTTGTAATATGCTTACATAAATATTGCATTGAATGAGTTGATGTAGGCAAGTTGTAGGAAGAGGCACTGCCAAACTATCTTGTACTCCCATTATGAGGGACTTTAGAATAAGTAGTAACTTTGGTGAATCATGCTGCACAGTTTTTTGAAATTTAAATGGGAGTTGGCAGAGTGCAGTTTTGTCATCTCAGCCATGCAGCTTCAGGTTGGACAGATGCCCTGTGTTCTAGCATTTAGGGGCCCCTGGACTGGCTCCTTTCTTTACTTGCACACATCACCCCAAAGGCTGCAGCCGAACCTGGCTGGCTCCAAAAGATCATTGACCCCAATGGGTGCCAATGGGCAAGTGACTGGACTTACAGTCTGAATGTCCTAGGACCTACAGATGGCAACAGTCTGTGAGGTTGGGCAGGACTGGAGCTGGGCAGCTCCCTACCCCTGATGCTGCCAGGTTCTCAAATTGAAAAATAATTTTTCCAGATACCAGGATATTAGAAGGAGGATGGGCACAGCAGAAATGGCAAACATGAAAACAGCAAATGTGAGATGAGAAATAGTAGTCACCTAAAATGGATCATGACTGGAAGAGAAGTTGTCAATAAAAATTCCATTTGCAAACAAAATGGAATTCTCAGATTGTGCATTTGCACTGTAGAATTTTTTGGCTGGGGTGGGCAAGTTCTCTGAAATCAGAACAGTTGAGGGGCTGCTTAAAGTCTCAGCAAATTTGTTTTGCCTCTGGTGTTTTTGGCTGCAATGAAAGAGTTTAAAAATGGTATAGAATTTGATGGGCCATAGAAGCATGATTAAAACATCCTGTTGCTATGCTGGGGGTGGCCAGCAGGTACAAATGCAAATGTTTGATTTACCGATTCCCTTGTCTACTTGATTTCTAGTCAAAAGGGCTAACAGGCTGACTGGGGAAGAAGCAGCCTGGCCAGGGTCTACTGTCTTTTCTCCCCAGGAATCTCTGTAGGTTCTACTGCCTACACACATCCAATGAGTCAGCCATTAGTGATGTGGCAAGTTCATTCATCCAGAAACATTTGAGTGAGTGCCCATGACATGTAAAGCACCATGCTAGGTAAAAAAAAAAAAAAAAAAGTCTCTTTAACCTAGCATGGTGCTTTATATGTCATGGGCACTGTGTACCATGAGTACTATCTAGCAAGAAAACTGGCCCTCAGAATGGGACCGCTTCATTGGTCATGGTCAGTGGCTCCCCCAGAATATGGATATATCTGAATCTGACAGCCAGTCACATGACCCCAGGGTCACCGGGGGCTAGTCAGTAGTTTATTCTATCCATAGCGTCATATAAATTTACTGGAGTCCAGTATCTGTGTGGGTGAAGGTTCTTTATAACCCACTGTTGGCTTTAGTCTCTGCTCTAGTGAAAGGATTTCTCTAGATTCCAGTCTTGATAATGGAGTGACTGCCCCACCTTGGTATCCAGATTCCAGTCAAGGCTCTGTACAGTGGAGCTGAGGCAGGGGCCTTGGGGGTGGGGCAGCACTGCGTGTGCTGTGGTTAGCAGTCTGCTTTAAAGGGTAACACATGCAAGGTATTATTTACCCTGTTGACGTCAATGAGAACACATTATCCACTCTCCTTTGCTGCCTGAAATAAGCCCTGGAGCTCATAGACCTACCCCCCCCCCTCCACACACACATTTACAATGCCATGTAGGGTCTTCACAGCAAAGGAGTTAAGCCAATGGAACAGATACCAAACAGTTCGAGGGCCTTGGAGTATCAGGCCCCTTTGAAATGCAGCTCACTCAAGTGCTAATAAAAACACTGTTGCCTTTATTTTCTGCTAATTCAACAGGGATTACACATAAAAACATTTTCCTTGCAGGAAACAACCCCATTAAATTACCTTTTGGTACAAAGATCACTGCATTTTCAACAATTTCCTAACACTGAGTGGTGATGGGGATACATTTTGATTTTTTCACATTACAGTTGTGATTTGCTTTCAAGATACCCCAAATCATCAAACTCACCAAAAAACCAAAAAGCCCAAAATGAAAAATTCATGATTAGACAGAATTTTATCAAATTAATTCTTTCACAGACCAGCCTAAAGAATGATCACCCTCAGAAATAAAAGCAGCTTGTTTTGCCCTTTTCTGCAAAGAGAAACATGATTGTGTTTTTATTTCAGTACAAAAAGAGAAGGTTGCATCTAATTCTTGCCATCTTCTTCCTTTTCCATCATGTGACTTCATATTTTGCCAACAATTGTGTATTACCACCACTTAGAACTGCCTTAGTCTAGGTAAAAACTCATTCAGTTTAGATATGGCCTAAACCATATCTAGATATCAGACTATTTAGATATAGTCAGTGGCAAACTATTTGATTGACTTTGCCAACTTAATACTGCTTATGTTTGGGATCATTTTCTGGACAATACCATGTATTTCTACTTGTTTTGAAATATCATCTTCCTTTTACCCTGAAAGAATTTCAAGTTTTTGTCCAATCAAAGCAAATTTTTTTTTTATCCCTAAAAGGTCTCATCAGTAGTGGGGAATATTATCTGAAGAGGTGTGGGTCTGAAACCTTTGATAGCTGAATTTTAAAATTCCTGTTAAAATCTCTGAAGCTATGATAGAACAACTCTAAAAACACTCAAGTTCCAGGTATTCTCATTCTCTTAGGAGAAAATGTAGCAAAACAGGAATACATGATGGTGTACAGGAGGGTAGAGTCATGGTACCTAGAACTGGGAGGGGTTCAGAAGGGTTTGGTCCATTGCTCTGACTTCTGACAAGATCACATATGCCAAAGCAGGGAATCTTAATGATGTAACATATGAGTCAACCCTTACAGTCTCGCTATATGCTCATTCATCAGAGATGATCATCTGTTTAATGCCATTGAACATTTCAGGAAAAAAGCATAATCATCTGCTTCTGAATTAGTCTGCTGAAATCAGATTGATAAGTCCCCAAAGTAGAAAGGGAGCAATAAATTCTGTAGACAGTATTATTCCATCCTAACATTTCCCCATCTTTGCCATTTAAGTGGGAAGTAGAAAACAAGAAAGGTCAAAATTGGGAACTAAGCCTTCCAAATCGTACCAGGCTTGTAAGACCAATATTGGTAAATTACATCAGTGTTGCTTTTTAAAAGTTAATGACTCATTAGGTTTGGAATGCAAGTTATTCAGAGCATGAACTTATTTTAAATAGCGAGCTAAAGTAGAACGGTCTGACATTGACTTCTGAGCGGCAAGCAAAATAGAAAACGTTAGGAGCCTAAAATGTGGGTGGTTTGATTGTGACGGTCTTATGATGTCTAAAGGCAATAGGATCAGGGAAATGAAATTTTCCATAATCCTATGCCTACCTGGGGGATGTCTCAATAAGCTTGTACCTAAAAGAGTTTAACCAATTGCAGCAGGAGTAAACTGGAAGTTGCTGGGAATAATCTACCATTACTCCTACCCCAAATTCTAGCAATACAAGTATTTTTCCTTTAAAGGTTGAGGGATGAGCTGCATTTTGGTGCCTCCCCCCCCCAAAAAATCTTATGATCCTAAGGTAATTAGCAGCAGCACAAAGGGTGGTACAAAGGTAATACTCTGAGTATAGGTTCTGAGCAACCATAAAAGAGGGTTACCGCCTCATCCCAAATGGTGATTTCTGCTGAGGTCATTATTACCATAACTAATGGGTCTATATGTACTACTTCTCACCGGTACACAGTAGCTTGTTCCAAAACAGCTGGGCTGTGCTCTTTCTCAACTGATTTCATGAGGGGAGTTACCTACCTCTCCTTAATCATGAAGCTAAAATGGAAACATAAGGGGGGGAAGTCCATGTTTTAATTATAGCCTTGGGTCCTCCCCAAACAATATTTTGGTGCATCCCCCTCTCCAACCCTCCACTGATTCTGTCAGATTCCAAGGGGAAAATGGTACCCAAAGAGACTGGTATCAAATTCTCTCCTCCCTCATCCCCATCAAGTTGGGAATAAGGTATGAGGCAGAGGTCCAGGGTGAAAAATAGTCTACACTAGGATGGGCTGAGTCCCTGAGTCATGTCTCTCCTTGGTATTGGTCCAAGTGTTTTCTGTCTCTTGGATAATGGAGGCCTACCAAGGCAGACACCCATTTTGTCCTTTGTCCATCCCCTTAAGTCATAAATGGTGGGAAAATAATGCTTGAAAGGAGGGGAGAGAGCTGGTGCTGAGTCTGGGCCTGCTGGTGTGCAGCTTAGCCACCACTGATTTAAAAGCAGAAGATCTGTCCTCTTTATTCTTTAGAAATACACTGCTTTATAGGGTCCAGCATATCAGTTGCATGTAAATACTAAAGATAAATGCACCCAACTGGAACTCACAGTAGTGGTGCCATTTTTCCCAAAGCAAAAGACTAATCCCCATGATCTAAAAGAAAAATAAAAATGTACCACACACATATTGCACTTTCCTCCATGTTAAATTTTTACCCCATATACATCTCACCAAAGTTTCTTCAGAGGCATCCCTTATTACAAGATAACGAAGCTAGTAATTACTATACAGTAGTGTACACTCTGCTAATGTTAAACAGATGCAAACAGAAGCAGCTATTTCAAAGTAGCATCAATATACAGTGGTACTATGTCCTTTTAGTGTTATTTTAGTATTTGTTTAAAGAAAACTATATGGAGTTTACAGGTCACTGATTAAGGAACAGAGCAAATGACCTAATCTTGTAGAGCTAACTAACCAGTAGGAAGAATCTTCTCTGCTTATCAGCTGAAACATCAGTAAATACAGACTGCTGGAGGAATTTATTGATTTCTCCTTGAAACCCATTGGTATTTGGTCTGCAAAGACCAGCTAGGTAGGAGAGGCTTCTTTTCCTCACCAGCTGAATCCTTATGTTGCCAAGCCTCAGTTATTTGGTAATTAATACTCTCAGGCCCCACATTGTTGAATGCTGCACTATTTCTCCCCTTTGTCCCTGAAGCCTTTTACCTCTGAATAACTTCTCCACTTCTTTTCTCAATGAATGGACCTTTATAGTGCCACACGACCCTGTGGGGATTCCTGGGGGCAGCCAGCTACCCAACTGGCCTCTGGAGAGATTTAGTCAGTTGTCTGAGTGAAAGGGATATGGAGAGAGAATTGAGATGTAAATCTATAACCAGCAGAATTCCTATGCTTTTGAAACAGTTCCTATGTTCAAAATGGAAAGTATTTCAGTTTCATAAATACCAGAGAACAACATTAGTACATCTTTGAAAACACATCCATCCTCCTTCAATCTAAACACATCAAGCCATTTTAGGATCGGCAACTGTTTGCAGACTTGAAGGAGTTAGAGATCAATATCGCCTTAGAAAAGAACACAATGAATAAAATAAATGTCTGTCATCTAGCAAATTAGGAAGCAATGTAAGGCAACTGCTGCTATCTATGTCAAAAACATTTTTTTCCCCTTCTGGCTTAAGTTCTGTGGAATCTTAAAATTTGACAACTGGTAGGTGGTCCTACTCAGAAGCACCTCGGATCACCTTTGCCAATTCTATGTGCTATCAATCCTTAGGTGTAAAGACCCTGCCTCCCTGCACACATTTTCTAGACAAATGAAAACTAGTTGTTCTCCCTAGGTTCTGACTAAAAATTACTGTAATTCCATCCTCTCCACTAGCCCCTTTCTCTATCACATGGGAGCCAACCCGGAAGTGTGGGGGAACTGGTCAGTGCCACTTGTCTTTCTCCACCTGACCCAGAATGTTAAGCACATGATGACAGTCAAGGTGGCTCCATTGGGTCAACAACTGTGGGCCTCAGAAACAATGCTCAGAAGGGGAGTGAGCTGGGATGCTTTAAATGGAATCCTCAAGTTTCCATCCTGCTCCCTGTCCCCCAGGGGGGCCTTGTGAGAAACCAAAAAAGGATCCCCATGTATTTTCTCACCTCCCTTCGGGACAGTGCAGGATCCCTGGTCTTTGTGCTTTACTGTGCTCATCTGCTCTATCAAAGAGCGGCCACTCTGAAGAGGGATAATTACTCCACATCATTAATACTTAATTTCTAACCCTTGGGGGACACTGTCCAAATGAGTAATCACTAATTCTAGGTAGACAGGAGACTTGTAGTCACATCTGCTCTTGACTCATTTTTGATAAATTCTGAGGTCTGAGATGAGGTTAAGTTCTGCTAATGAATGTCAAGTGACTGGCAGATGGTCTGCTGTGAAATGGTTACCACATCCAGAGTTCTTTGAATATTGCTGTCATACGTTTAACATTTCAAGCAGATAAGCAAGTCATAACAGCAGAGGACGTGAGCACTCTGTATCCCACATGGTGGGACACCCCCTCTGACGTGACTTTGGATTCAGCATGGATACAATGGGGCGCTGTTGTCCGCCAAAGAACCCAGGAAGCATAGACCTGCTCCCGCTTCACATGGGATGCTGCTGCTGCCGCCTTTGCTTGTCCTTAGCACGTGCTAAAACCCGACACCACTGTCCAACATACAAAGCTTAATAAACCACTAGAGACTATAGTGTAAATTTAAAGTACAGTCATTATTTTTTAAGAGTCTGAGGGACCCCTGCTGATCAGCTGCTCTGAGACCAGAAGTCTTCCCAAGGGATTGTGTGCGAGAAGCCTGCTCTTTCTTCTGCTCAGGGCTGGCCTTCGTGATGTTTTGGTTACTTCTCCTTTCTGTCACACAGATGGTATCTTTGGAGAACAGAGCACTGACTCTGACAGTCATGGCAATCCTTAGAGCCCAAGCCCAGTGGGCCCATCCCCTCTATGCAGGGGTCTGCACCTTTTGAGGTGTGCCACTGTCGACCAGAGGGAGGTGAGCTGCCCATCTAAGGGGTTCATCTCTAGCTTCTCCCGACATCGGTGAAATGCTATTACTTATCAGTCAAAGAACAAAGCTCGTCACACTCTACAAATCAATGCCACGACATGACTTTCTTTTACAATCATCTGTGTACCCACGATCCAGAAGCATTCTTGATTTATCTTTTAGTGCCTAACGTTTTGTTGCTTTATTTCAGTGAAAAACATATTGCTTTTATTGCCAGGAGATAGGCCATGCCACACCCTTGCTTTCACCAAGTTTTTCTCGATAATTGACTGGTATAACTTGGTATAAAATGAAGGTGTGGATTCCTTTCTTCCTACAAAAACATTTTCTGAGTCTTCCTCAAGTTTGCTCCATCTGCCCAAAGGGCATGATCTTCAGTCCAACAACTACGTTCAGTACCTGCCTCTGAAGCTCCTGTGGACGAGGCCAGGCTGACCCAACCACCCAGCCTCAGCCAGGCCCTGACAGTTCCAGGGGGGCAACTTGACATTTCCCACTAGGGGAAATGCAGGAAAATAAGCTGTGAATTTCAAGGTTGGAATAAAAACAAAAATTCACACTCTTTTCCTTTGCCCTGCTTGCTTTCTGACATGAACACTGTGTGTGCTGGGGCTAATTCACAAGGACATAGCCGCTGGGCTGTGGGTCAACAGCCTCCATCATTTCACAATCAAAGAGTCCAGGCAACTCAGAGAGTGCTAATGGGTCATAGTTGGAGGGGGTCTCCCTTGGCCCGGAGCTCCTGGGACAGTCTGGTAATGCTACATCGCTTTGCTGAGCTGAGTCCATGGAATACTGACAGGGGGGAGGATAGTCTGGCTCAGGGGGGGCAGCACCTGACAGCTCACGAGTCTGATAAGAGAATGGTAACGGTGGGGGCGCTGCTGGTGGTTGTGGCGGCTGCTGCTGCAGCTGTGATGACAGAGGAGGAGGGGAGCTGGGAACCTGGGAGGAGGGCAAGGGCTGGAGCTGCAGTTTACCGTATTGGCTGAGGAATGGGTCATATTGCATTTGCTCTGAGGAAGGCTCTAGGACTGGGCTTAGCGACTGAGCCAGGCTGAACTGGGGTGGCTGGGGTGGCTGTGGCGGAGGACTGGAGAGCTGCTCCTGGTGGGGAAGCGGCAGCTGCTGGTTTGGCCTTGGGTAGGAATTCTCTGCTATCTGCATCTGGTTAAAGTACGCTTGCAGCTGGGATTGCTTCTGGAGGAAGAGTCGCTTCTGATGCAGCCTGAATCAGGGAGAGGAAAAGGAATAAATACTTCAAGGGATTCTGTCTTTGATGAAAATGAAGACCCAGCCCAAGCTCCCCAACCTCCTTCACTTCCCAGTAGAAAAACAACAACAGCAACTGTTCCCTGACTCTAAAACCAAAGTGAGGTTCTCCCCCTTGCTGCCAAAGTGGAGGGCTCCCCCAAGTTTTTCCCTTTGACATAAAGTCAAGCTTTAATTCTCAGCTTCTCAAACTTTGAACTTCATATGGAAAGCCAGAGGCTCCAGCTCATGGAGGGCTAGGACGAGGCTAGGTTTGTGCCCTGGCTGCAAAGTAATAGCCACCTGCTGGCAAGACAAAGAAGGACCCAGGGAGGTGGCCACTGCCAGGGTCTGAGCAGGGATGTGTCAAAGTCACCAAACCTAGAGACTGGGGGAATCAGTCCTGACAAAAATGTACTCCTTAGGGCAGCCTCCAGAGGAGGCTCCAAGAAAGGGGCCGTGCCTCACGAGAGAAGAAGGCACGCCTGACGAGCTCCCTTTGGAGCACCTGGCACCTTGTTTGGTTTACAGTGTCCTCTCTAGAAGCTGAACACAACAGGCAAAGAGTGGAGAAAAAGCCCCAGAGGATCAAGAGGCACAGGTGATATCTTTCAGTCCTCACCAGGCAAATGCCTCAATTAATGTGCTGCAGGACCAGTAGGTCTCCTGGTTGGAGAGGCTCTCAGAGAGGACATTCCTCCTTAAAATCTAACACCCCAGGGCAGCAGAAGGCCTCTGGCCTGCCCGAGCATGGCTCCTCCAGCGGGCTCTGCCAGGCGCAGTGACTCCTGTGGCCAAAGGCCCTCACCTGTGCTCCTGCAGCTGCTGTTCCAGGCTCCGGGGAGGGTCCTTACAGTAGAGCTGGCAGGTGTTCTGTGCTTTGGACAGGAGGCTAGGTTTCTGCAACAACATTCGAACAAGGGAACTCAGGAAAAATGAGCTTACCAGGATATATCAATTAAGACTTCTTGGGCCTGGAGGATACTCTTGAAGAAGAATCAGAGTATCTTGGTAGGATACAAGACTGATATTTCACTGTTAAGTCACTGACAAGAAGGCAGCAGAGCCTTACAGGTAAAGACGGAATGGAATCAGAAACTGATGGCCGTTTTCAGTTTTGACCCTTCTCATTCTTTAGTTACTCATTTCTATAATTTGTAGAACTACAACAAGGATTTACTGGGTTTGAAAAATAAGTTATTTACTTTCTCAGATTAGGGTCAGTTGGGGAACACAGATGGCCAGGCTGCCCCTGCCCAATCAATACCTCAAGGACATTTATTTTCCTGGAGTTTGATGATAGATTTCAGCCCAGGGCACGGGCCTAATTACATTCCCAGAAGCCACAAAGAGTACATGATGATAAGAACGCAGCAGCTCTAAATAACCACCACCCAGAGCAAATGTTTGTTTTGCTCACTGACAGATCCTGGCAGAGAAAGAAGGGGAATGATCCCACCTGGAGTCTATGCTGCAGGTACTGGGTCTCTAGGCTTTGCCGTCTGGACAGCTGTGGATGCACAGTGTTAGGGAAAACAGAGGCACTGTCCTGTGGCCGAGTGGCTTCCTCCTGACGAGAGGAAGAAGAGAAAGAAAAACGACTTTGAGTTCCCTACAAGGCTCTCAGTTTCAGTAACCTTAAGGACTACCATGAAGAATCTCAACTCTCCATAATGTGGCACCAAGCTTCCTTTGTGCTAGGCAATGGGGGGTCACCCCCTTTGTGGCATATTTACAGAAAAGAGGGAAATCTGTCCAATCAAATGGAGACTACACATTACTCCAAAGGTGCTAGACTGCACTGTCGTCTCCCAGGTGACTCTCCTGGACCTGGTGCAATGGTTCTTGTGCTCCAGGTACTTCTGCTGGTTTATAAGCGGGCCTTAGTATTCTCGTACGTCAGTCCTCAGACAGACCTGTGACTTCACCCATGGGGGAAGTCCTTCCTCCAATGGTGCAGAGTGCTCCTGGATCCGTGGTTTCTCATCCTGTGGGCTCTTGTCTGTGTCTTTCCCTAAACTGTCCAGTGGTGTCCAGGTAGCATGCTAGGGTGGGGGTAGGGGGAGGCAGGGAAAAGCCTTCCACGAAGGCTCCTAATGTTCCATGGGTACAATGCAGCATGAGGGCTGACCGCCTCCTACTTTGACTAGCTCGACTTCTCTTCTGCTGATATATTTATCTCTTTGATATCTTTTATGCCATCCTTAACACCCAATTTACTACTGGTAACATGCTAAAGTCTGTGCATGCTTTTGTATGTTCTCTCTGTGGCACTCTGGATGACTCACAGTTTTGATGGAGACTACAGTTCCATATCTACAACCATATAATGTCATAGAAAAATACTAATGTTAAAAATGGGTTTTTATTTATTTTTATTAAATCTTATTTTATTTTTATTTTATTTACTGGGGCAGCTAGGTGGCACAGCGGATAGAGTGCCAGGCCTGGAGTCAGGAAGATCTGAGTTCAAATGCAACCTGAGACATTTACTAGCTGTGGGACCCTGGGCAAGTCATTTAACCACATTTGCCTCAGTTTCCTCATCTGTAAAATGAACTGGAGAAGGAAATGGCAAACTACTCCAGTATCTTTGCCAAGAAAACCTCAAATGGGTCGCGGAGAGTTAGACATGACTGAAATGACTCAACAACAAGAAGCACCATAGAAACGCTATTGGTGTTAAAAATGTTTTTTTTTTTTAATTTTTAGGAAAAAGATTGGGGTTAATGAAAGTGCTGTGGAATTTCCCAAAAGAAGTACAGCTCACTCTCTTTTTCCCAATTAATTCTGGGCCCAGCTCATCATACTGCATCTGTAGTGCCCGCCCAAGATCTATGGACTGGTGGACTAGCTCTACAGACTGTAGATCCAATAGCATATCATACTTTGGACAATAGTATTCTTCATCCACTTGGTTTTTCCTATGTAGATTGTTAAGTTGGATTCTTCTGAGGGCTGTGAATCTCACTCCACAATTTTTCAGGACTTTAAGCAGTTAGCACAATATCATCTGCAAACACGTGGAAGACTGCTCACATCTGAACTTTGCCCTGACATCCCCTAGGACTGTAATAAACAACTTCAAAGAGCACACATGGCCCCTGTTTAACGCCTCACTTGATCTTAATAATCAGAGGACTGACTGTCAAAGACATCTCTGTTGTGCCCATTAAGGAAACTTGTCTGATGTTAACACGTGCATGGGAAACACCTTACTGGAATAACACTTAAGTTTTATGTTTAGCTTTTAAAGTCTTGAACAGTCTGACCCTAATCTACCTTTCCAATTTCACTGTGTACTACCCTCCTTCCCAAACTCTACAATCCAGCCCAACTAGCTTTCTCTGTGTTCCTCATACGTGGCATTCCATATTCCACTTCTGGGCCTTTGCACTGGTGGTCTTCCATGGCAGGAATGCACTCCCCTCCTCATTGCCACCCCGCAGAATTCCTCTCCTCCTTCACAGTCCAGTGTAAGCATCACTTCTACATGAAGCCTTTCCTAATTCTCCAATTGCTAGTGCCTCTATCCTGTATTTATTTGTATTCATTCTCTTTATATTTTGTAAATATTTGTATATGTAATTGCCTCCTCCATTAAAATGTTAGCTCCTCAAGAGCAGGGTTTGTCTTATTCTTTCTATTTGTGACCCTAGTGTCTAGCACATGGTAGATACTTAAATGCTTTTTGGTTAACTGGAAGTCAACTGTACAGAAATGACCAGTGAACTCATGGGAACTGATGAAATAACAGAGACAGAGTGTGTAGTGAGAGAAAAGGGCCCAGTACAGAGTTTTTGGAGATACCCACAGCTGGAAGGAGAACAAAGAGAGAGCAGTGTCACAAAAATCCAGGGAGGAGAGAGTTGTCAATAGGATCAGATGTTGTAGAGGTAAAAAACAGTACAAACTAAGAAAAAACCAATGAGATCTGGCCGTTACGGTCACTTTGGGGAGAACAATTCAGCTGAGTAATGAGGTCAGAAGTCAGACTGCATGGGGCTGAGAAGTAAGGGAGAAGACAGGAAGTAATGAGAGCAAACAACTGCCTGTTTTCCAGGAGTTTAACTGAGAAAGGAAGGAGAGAGAGAAGGTCAGATTCTGAGGGCATAGTAAGGTCAAGTCAGAAATTTAAAGGACAGTGGAGACCTGGGCTTGTTTATGTGCAGTTCGTAAGAAGCCAATAGAAAGGTAGAGATTGAAGAATGGAGAAAACAAATGATTTTTGGGACAATGTGGGGGAAGAAATGGGATCAAGGGTATAAGTGGAAGGGTGGACTTGGTGAAGAAGAGGGATATCTTTTCATCATATACTGGAGGAAAGGAAGAAAGAATGGGCAGTGACATCAAGACATTTTGAAATGCAGGGAAGAGAAGAGAGTGTTCATGGTGATTAATTAGCCTCTATTTCCTTTGTAAAGAATAAGGTTATGTCCTTTCCTGAAAAGGATAATGGTGGGGGTCGTCACGTGGGAAGCTTGAGGACAGAGTATAAGGTTTGACATAGCTGTTCTAGAATCTGTTAGACAATCAGGGAGAAGTAAAAGATTGCTTTGGTGTAGTGAAGGCCAGTTTGTAGTGGACTGAAGTATGGTTATGTGATTTCCTCCAGTTCCTGTCAGCAGCATATGAGTAGAAGTGGAGGTCTATGGTAGGTATACAGGGTTTAAGATTGGCAAGGTATAAGCAACAGTAAGATAAGCAGGCAAGGAATTCAAGATTGGTAAATCCTAGATTTAATATTGGGAAAGGAAGTGGAAAGTGAAGCCAGATCATGGGTGATGGACTGGGAGGTCACTGAGAGACAGAAGAGCTAAAAGTCATGATGAGGGTGAATAACAAGTTTAGGGGAACTAAGAGAGAGGAAATGATAAGTCAAAGTTGGATAGGAGAATTTAAAAATTCTTGATCCTGGAAGTAGAACACTTATGGACAACAGTGAGATCAAGGGCGTGACCATCCCTGGTGGGGCTAGGGTGAAATGAAAGTGTAGGCCAGTCAAGGAGACTAAAGAACTCGGACCTAAAGGAGCTACAAAGGATCATTAACTTGCACGATGAAGTCATCTAGCATGGTAAGAGGGAATGGGGCAGACAGGAAAGCCAGGTACTGAACTTCATAAGAAAGAAGAGAGAATGACTTGGAAACCAGTAGATAACTCCCATGAGGATATGGCTAGGGTGATATATGTGGATAGAGTGACCTTCGCTGGAGGTAAGGATGCTGAGAAGCTGCAGGAGAGGTCTGAAAATGGCAATAGGGAGCAAGGCTTACACCTACTCCTCTTGGACCAGAAAACTCAAGGTCATCAAAGAAAGTATATACAACACTGGAAAAGACAGCCAGGAATGCAATATCTTTGGGGGGCAGAGAAGAACGGGAGGAGGAATCCAGGTCCTTATCAGTGCCAGAGTGGCAAGGAACACAAGAGGAAGAAGTCCAAGGTGAGGGGAAGTTTGTTAATGGTACAAAGTTCTAGAAAGCATAATGGAAGGAACAGGAAGAGGTGGACAGGAATGTGGGAGTCCATGAAAGTGGTTACGGAAGGCACAAATGGGAAAAGGTGGATTGCTTAGGGAGCTGAGGCTTCATCATCACTGGGGTTGAGAGAATAAAAGTTAAGAGCTTAGTGGATAAGACAGGATGAGGATGCTATGGGGATGTAGTACCTTTTGTATGAAAAAGTTATGGCTCCAGAGGTCTCAGCTGTGGAATTTAGTTAGGAATGCTTAGTTCTGTGGGTGGCTTTAGTGATATTAAGCTAACAAGAAAAAGAAGGTTAGGTTAACCTTCAGGTGCTAACCTGAAGATTCTGGACAGAAGGAGGAATTGTTTAAAGTATTGATTGTGTTTCCAGGACTATGATGTGCTTGGATTTGCACGTATTATTTAAAGGGTCTACAATACCCACCTGTGAGGCACTGCTGACAAGGTCTTGGAGCTGAGGAGCAGCTGATGCTAAGCTAGGTTCTGCCTCTGACCCCATCTGTTCATATAGCAACTGGACTTTGTTCAGTTCAAGAATGCCTTTGGTTCGAGCCAGGTTCTGAAGATGCTGTCTAAATGCTACAAGCCCTAAAAAGGGGGAAAAAAAAAACAACAAAAAGCCCAGTTGAATACCCAAGGCCTTTTTGTAAATAACTTAACAATATGATTACAAAGCCCCACTTAGTTCCTATCATTTATAATTGTGAAAAACGGTAGAAAAGTAAAGAAAAGAAGAGTTACCTTGTGTGAGAGAGGTATCTGATGCCCTTCGGCCTTCTCTGAAGCTGACCGGGGACCTGTTGTGAGCCTCTCTTTTCTGCGAGCTCAGCACCTGCATGGCTGGATTGGCAGGCCGTATGCTTAGGAAAGGAGGTGTCAAGCGATGTGTAGGCTGATTGGCCAACATGATGTCCTTCAGGGATGGGTTTTCCTCTAGAAAGTTCAGATCCCTCTGAGTGGATCCCATGTCAGACTCAGAATCCACACTGCCCAAGGAGGGGTGATCGTTCACAGAAAAGACTTTGCCTTCAAGAACCAACAAAAATGGTATAACCAAAACCAGTAAATCTTTCTTTGGGCATATGACGCGTAGTACAGCCAGCTAACTAATCAACCAACAGTTTCATAAACTTTTCACATTCCTAAGCTAAATCTTCTAGAGATGAAATGAACTATTTTCCCAACCCCCAAACCTGAGAACAAATATAATGAGGACAGCACGAGTAGATGAAAACTCCTTAAAAGGTCTAGATATGCTAAGTTCTAAGATTTTATCTTGTTGCTATCTGGGCTATATAAAAAAATGAAACATAGACTAAAACTTAGGACTTGATTCTTAAAAAATGGAACCAACAACTCTCAGGTGGTAAGGGTCAATTTAAACAATGAAGGCTTGACCTGATACCTATCCCAGCATTTACCTGTGGTAGGCATCATGACTAGCTGATTGGTCACTTCTGCCAATGTGTGACGTCTCTGCCCACAGCGTGTTGACTGGAAAGCATCAAATGTATGGCTGGGGTCTTCCTCAGACTCTCCTTCTGTCTCTATTCCTTCATCAATGGAGGTCTCCATCATATTACTAGGCAGTGATTGGCATCCTTTTCTCATCATTATGGGGGGTACTGGGTCCAGCAGACAACCATTAACCTACAATATGAAGAGTGTAAGAGTGAAAATCATCAGCCACTGCTCTGTTGAAACACTAGATGTTTCTATAAAAGAAGATGGCACAGCTGTTGCCGTTCAGTCATCTTTCAGTTATGCCCAACTCTTTGTGATCCCATTTGGGGTTTTCTTGGCAAAGACACTGGAGTGGTTTGCCATTTCCTTCTCCAGTTTATTTTGTGGATGAGGAAACTGAGGCAAACACAGTTAAGTGACTTACTCAGGTTCACCCAGCTGGTAAGTGTCCCAGGCCAGATTTGAACTCAGGAAGATGAGTTTTTCTGACTCCAGGCCTAGCACTCTGTTCACTGTGACACCTAGCTGCCCTAAGATGGTACAGACTTTGGAGCAAACTGTAAACTGAGTGAAATATGGAATCCTCATGTGGCATTTCATTGAAAATTTAGGACCAAAGATTCAGGTAAGCACTGCTGTGTTCTCTCTCCACAAGATAAAGGCCTGCTCCACCACTGGCATCTTCTTTGAGGCTGTTCTCTCTGAGGGTCTGCCTTCTCAGAGGCACTCCATATTGGAATTAACCAGGTTTTGTTTTTGTTTTTTGAGAAAAGGGGGAGAAGTGAAGCAGTGGTAAGGAACAAGAGTTCGTCTGTTATACTTTTCAGGAGGGAGGAACCTCCAACATTCTTCATGTTTTAAAGTCATAAACTACTCTAGAAGGTTCCCAGCACACTTTTGTGCCCACAGTCATACATCCTGCCCACTGAAGTCAGCTTTTATTGGCCCCGTGTGACTGCGGTACATAAGTGTGAACATTCTCCCTGATGGCTGGAAACACAACAAAGACCTGAAATAATACTGTAAATGGTCAATGCCTTCCACTATAGGATAATAAATGATTTACATGCCCACAAACCCGGGAGAGGTTAACGAATGCCAGAGCAATGAACTCACTCTCCACGGACAACACATGCAGTAATCTACATCTCACCTCCTGCAGAGATTAGCTCAGTCCTGCTCAGAGGTGAGAATTTGGCATGGTGGAGCCAAGCCTTTAGAAGCTGTTGCCAAGAAAGCCCACTTACACTTGAAAGCTCTACTCCAGGGTGGATAGAAGCATCCAGAAGGAAGCTGTAGTCTGACTCTCACCTGGATGGTAAAAGCTCCAAGAAAAAGCAAGCCTTTGTCTTGTTACTCAAACTGTCTCCCCACTTTGTGTGATCATGTATACCCTGAGAACAGCTTCTGAGGAACAGCCAGTCACAAGGGGACTCAGCTCTAAGCAACACTTTCACCTGGAAGACGGTGTAGAATGACTATTTCCTTTGGAAGCAGTACAGACCCATATGTGAGGTGACGTGGGACGTTCCTGTGCCAGAAACTTCCCTTTCCCTGCAGCCAATCGTTGTGGAGGAATTTTAGGCTCTTTATTTGGAGAGGGAGACTTGGGTGACTCAGACCTTTGTTTGCCTGTGCAGAGGTTATGCCATGAAAATAGCTTTGGGACTGTGCCATCCTTGGGAACAGGGTGGCTACAGCATTTTAAATAAAGAGCACTTGGAGAAGAAGTCAAGTGAGGTCTCAAAGAAGTATTTCTTCAGGGCCTGCCCAGTCCCCTGGCACCCCACAACTCTCACCCTGACAGCTACTTCTATTCCCAGCCTGGACTTTCCCCAGGCTTCTCCCTTTCTTGGGTGGCTCACAGTCTTTCAGAACCAAGTGGCTGCTTGAGAAGCATCTTGTAACTCCCACTTTGGTTTTTGAGACCTGTTCATACTCTACTGATTCAGTTTTCTGACACTGTCAAGGCACATAACCATTCAATTTACTGAGCCCCTACTTGGTCTGAGGGGCTCCAAGGACACAAAGATGAGGAAGAAAATAAGGTCACAGTGCAAAGACCAGGGAGTGGGGCAAGGACTAAGTATGTTGCTGTTTAACAATGTTTAATTTATAACTTCTACTAAAATCTTACTAGTGAGCAGGGACTGATGTGGATACCACAGTGGATCTGTTACAACCACTTGGACACTCACAAAAATTTGCTACACACTGTTGTGACTCCTGGAGAAAAGCAACTTCTGATTTTTGCTTCTTGGATGACAGAGACAGAAGGTTTGAACAGGCACCACTATGGGCTGCCCAGCTCTCCCTCACTTAAATCTAATTCGTGCACAAGTCAAGACATCAACCCTCATGATGTCATTGATCCTCTCTGAGAATGAAGGATCAACAACAGATTTGCCCTGTACTTAAATGACAGATGTGCATTTAGTAATGAGCATGGGCTTCCTAAAAGAGCAGACATTTATACAGTCCCTTCTTTCTGGCACTCAGACTCTTGCCCACCTGACCCTAGGTCATCTTTGGAAGAGGGCAACTTGATGGCACACTGAACGGACCCAGGAAAAGCTTGTGCTCACCAGATTCTCTGAGAAAAGATATTCTCTTACTGAATTAGTTAACTACCATTTGGATTTTGGGAAACGAATGTTTTTATATATGATTAATCCATTTCCTCATAAAATCAGTTTGGTCCACCTGAGGCTATGGTGGAGAGATTAGCCAGAATAAACTCTTGGTCTCATCAGCACATTTCAGAATCTGCTCTTTGTTGCCGCATATCCTTCTCCTTTCAGTAACAGCTGCTTAAATGGCAAGGTGGTAAGACTGGCAGAAGACATTCTCTGATGCCTTGGGGCTTTGATCAAGTTTCAGAATGTGTTAAAAAGTGGCAACCAGCCTCTGGTTATGGCTCAGCTGCTTTTGCCACAGGAAGCTTCTTCCCTACCCCCCACCCCCATACTGGGCTATTCTCCTTAGCTTGTCTTCAATCTGGTTATACAATTCCCATTTATATAGAGCTGTAAGGCTTACTTCTCGGCCCAAGAACAGTGTGAGGTAGGCAGTGAAAGAATTAATCCTATTTTACAGATGAAGAAAGTGAAGCTCAAGGATGTTAAATGACTTGAATGTGATTACCCAACTTGTAAATGTCAGGGGTGTAATCTGAACCCAGGTTTCCTGACTCTAAGTCTACCTGTACTCTAGAAAGAGTACATTATCCATTATCCATTATCTCATACCATTATGGGAGGAGCAGTGTTACGAATTCTAAGTATATTGTCAGAGGCCTGACTCATGCTCTTCTTTATCCTTCTCTCCTCTGCCAGACTGGCAAAAGAGTCATGAGAAACTACTATGCCTGGCACACACTGTCTTATTCCGGCATTAAAATGGGCAGAGGTAACATCATCACACATTATAACCTTGGTAGCAACAATAAAAAGTGCTTGTGCAACATTGGGAAGGAAAGGCATCTTCACTTGGCATCTGGACTGATTATCGATCAGATGAAGCGGAGTATAGTAATGCTTTCCATGGCAGCTTGGGATTCCCTTCTTTCCAATACTTAAAAACTCTGGACATTCTGTGGCAAAAACGGCTGGCAGTTTTTGTATAATATCAACTGTTAGAAATAAGATATTTGTTCTAGGAAACAATCTCTGCTGCCTGAGGCAAGTATTCTGAAATGGAACAAGGGTTGGAGAGATCTCTTAACACTTTGAAAGGCATTCATTTTTCCTTCTCCTTGAAGTCAATTCACACTAATAAGAAACTATGTACACAGAAATCACTAAAGTGTTTAGGATACAAACAGGACTCACAACAGTCAGCGCCCCTATTGACAAGGGATAAAGCTTCTTGGTTTATCATAAAAAAGAATGCTTGAAAAATAAGAGATTCCTGCACCAATCAATAGTATCATTTATAGCCAACAAAAATAGCAGAAATAAAAATGCAAAAATAAAAAAGCTACATTACACCACTGCATTTTGAAACAAATGTCATTGTTGTCTATGAAAATTCATCACCATCCACATATTTTCATGGTCCAATTTCCCCCCTTTCAGCGGGCAGAAGAGGAGTGGTGATTTGGAAAATCTTATTATTGGCCTCTGTGGTCCCCTCAAAATGAAAACAGGAAGGGATTATGAAATATGTAGAAACACTTCTTTGCAGCACTCACCACCTCCAAAACAACAAATACAACCCCATTCTACAAACTCGAAATGAGACAAGTACCAGTTTTCAGTGTCCATTTGTAGCTCCCTTTACCATGATCCTAAGCTTACACTGTCCAGAGTACTTGGACTGATGACCTGAATGTAAGGCAGCAAAGCAGACAGAACATTGAACCTGGGGTAAGGAAGCCATGGCAGTTATTATCACCTTTAACACTTAATGGCTGGGTAAACATATATGCACAAGTCACTTAATTCTGAGGCTCAGTTTTCTCATCTGTAAAATAGGGATAATAATACCTGTTAAATACTTCCATCCCAGGGGTATTGTGAGCCTTAGATGAAGTAACGGATAAGGGCCTTGCAAACATCAAAACCTATATAAAACCATCACTTGTAATCTGCCATCTAAATAATCATCATGAATATTATCAATGCAGATTCAGAATACTGAAAAAAATCATCACAATTCCCTAACAGCCTCAGGGATGAATGTAGTCTATCTGGCATATTTTAGACAGCTGTAAATAATCAAGAGGTTTGGATGAGAAGGGATCATGGGATTTGGAGCTTAGAGACGTCTAGTCTAACCCTATTCATTTCACAAATAACAAAACTGAGGCCTGGGGTAGCTGAAATGACTTCTCCGAAGTTATACATGTAAAATTGGACCAGGATTTGAATTCGGGTCCTCTAATTCCAAATTAAGAGGGCTCTATCTCTTATACTACACAGACTCCTTAAGGTCTATCCTGGCTCCTCTGGGATTGGAACCTGAAAGGTCTCATACCTTTAAAGAAGGTCAAAGGTCTCAATAAGGATCAAATGGAGATGTAGTCCCCTTGAAATTTACTATGAATGTCGGTTACCGAGGACAGAAGTGAAATTAGGGAATATATGATGTTATGAAATGCTTCCTAAAAATACAATGGGTGGAAAATGTTATAACCAAATACACATCAATCAAACTGAACACAAAGATGAGCTGTAGTCACATCTGATAAGCCCCCAGAGCCATGGAGTTGAAGGAATGGAACAGATGTCGGGGGTCATCTATTTCATCTCCTATTCAAATCCCCTTTCTACCATCCCCAACAAGTGGTCATCCAACCTCTTCTTAAACACCGCCAGAAGCAAGGAGTATGCCACTGGCTGAGTCAGTTCACTCCAGTTTTCTAAGGCTCTAACAGTTTCTATGTGTAGTGATTTATAGGTCCCAAAGGAGGCAGTATTAGGGAGGAGAAAAAGCTAACAAAAATATAACAGGCAAAAAATAGACCTAGCTGGTTTGCACAGCAGAGTTATACCAGGATTCTCAAATTGTTCTCTCTATACAAAAGCATTAAGGAGCATTCTGAATCTTCCCCCTAGTCATTTCCAATTTGTTCCCTAGTTACAATAAAACTCACATGCTTTAAAATAATTGCTCACTCTAAATAATAATGCACACACTGTCCCATTTGTATGTTTTGGGCCTGACGCCTCCACAGATGAAACTTTAATACCCTATGTTCGCCTTTTCTCAGACCTTCAAAAGAGAGTTTTTTCAAAAGAGGGTTTTTTGGGGGGGCCCTCTTATCTCCTCCCTCCCAACTTATGTCCAGATTTCAAGTGTGCAAAGAAATGGAATAAGATGGCTTCCCAACCAAGTGGGAAAGGAGGTAGTAATAGTTCATGAGTACACTGAATAGCATGCTAAGCAGACAAACAAACCTTCTAAGTGTGAAATAGTAGGGAAAGAAAAGCCTATCACCCAAAATGGCAGTGCTTGTAGCAGTATCATTACAACCTCTAATGGTTAGCAATAGCTCAGGGTTACATCTTATCAAAAGCATTGCATTCCTGTTTCATATCCTAGCATCAAACTGTCTGCTCTCCATCTGAAAAGCAATGTCATTTGTACATATGCAAAAACTCATCTCCTTCAAGTATGACCAATTCATCTATTTAACTAGCAAGAAGACAGTTCCATGGGTTTACAGCCACAAGACAGAGAATAGTGGGAACAACAAAGAAGGCCAAACTTTGTCCTTTTTTAAAATCATTATTTCACAGGTATTTAGAAATACCTTTTGCTTCTCCCTCCCCTCAAAATGCCCCCAAAACATAAAAACCCCACAACTCACTAAAAGGGAAATGAGAAGGGACGTGGATCCTTAAGGAACAGAGGAAAGGCTTTTCAGAGGCAAAGTGCTATAGTGGATAGAGCACTGAATGTGGAGTCAGGAAAACCCAAGTCTGAATCTTGTCTCCAACACTGGCTAGCCATGTGACCATAGGCAAATCAATTAACTTCTCAGCCTCAGTGTCCCTATCTGTCGCATAGGGATAATAATACTTGAGTGCCTTCCTCAGGGAGCTACTGTGAAGATAAAATAAGATGTACACAGTGTTTTGCAAAACTTAAAAGTGCTACAGAAATTTCAGTTATTAGGGCACTGAAGAAAAGTTCCAAAGTAGGAAAAAACCTCATTGATTAGTCCAGAGGCACATGACTAGTATTTTTCTATGGGTTCTTTTTGTAGTACCCTCCAGTTTGTGCCACTGAAAAACTGCCATTGCTGAATGCTGTGAGGAAACCAAACCACCCATGAATTCAGCTCTGAACTATGCAAAAACACCGTACCTTTGGTGTATCAACTCCTTCTTCCTCCATGAATACTGCCTCGGCCTGGCATCCAGAACTGGAAAAGGAAAAGGCCTCCACATTTGATGTTTGAGGGAGAATGGGGGACCTCATCAGTCTCATGTTCTGTGAACGTATGGTCATTGGTGGACCAACAGTTTGTGCCTATAAAGCAAGAAGAATACATTTTGGTAAAATAAACACAATTTATCACAACCAAAAAAATTTCAAGAAAATAGTGCTCTTTGAGTACAAATAAAAAATAATCAAATGTTGGAATTGTAGGTAGACTGCTCTCCCTCCTATATAAGAGGAAAGGTCTAATACGTATAGCATTAATAAGGTACATATATGTGTTCAGAAATGATCTGACACATTAATTGTCCTAATGCTGGACTTTGGTCTCTGATCTTCACTACAATTCCAAGTTGTGGGGCATGATTTTGTCAGGGTGGCAGAGGACATTTTGAGCAGGCCTATGAACATACATCCCATGTTGTTTTTTATATTTGTATTTTTGTGTGGTAGAAGATAAGATATCTCTGTGGCTATGGATGGAATCAGCAAAACAAAAAAAGATGAGGGGAAGCAGAGGTAGGAAAAAAATATTCATTCACAAACTATTTACTCACCCATGAGATAATGAGATTTATCTCACATATCCACTATACCCAGGTAAACAGTGTAACCAGTATCGTACTGCGCTTATACTAGGGAAAAATGAACTTGCTTCAGAATGCTCCCAGTGGTTCTGACTGCCTCCTGTCTCTGATGTCTATTCTGCTGGGTATGCTAGGCTAACTGGTATGAGTAATACTTCTTTCAAAACAGGAGGAGGAATTGAAAGGGAGGGGGAGAGGGAAAGGAAAAGAAAGGAATGAAAGAGGAGAAGGTAGGAAAGAAAGTGTCTATTCTTTGTGATGTGAATAGGGGTTCCTTAATGCTCTTATGGAACATGGAAAATGCTATGTTATTTTATTTTTTTTGGGCTAGGCAATGGGGTTAAGTGACTTGCCCAAGGTCACACAGCTAGTAAGTGGCAAGTATCTGAGGCCAGATTTGAACTCAGGTCCTCCTGACTCCAGGGCCGGTGCTCTATCCATTGTGCCACCTAGCTACCCAGAAAGTGCTATTTTAAAGAAGGAACATGATTATGGGTCTCCTATTATCTGTTTAGGTAAACTATATTCATTGTATGGATACATAGAACAACCTAGGGGAACATTCATCACACTGGACACTTTGGAATGGCAGAGAAGGATTGTCAGGACAGCCAGTACTTAGGGAAGTGTGACTAGTACATTTTCTATTGAGGGAGTGAAAGGGAACAAATGATCAGTTTCTAGAAGGATTTATTTCTCTATGAAATGCAAGCTCCTTTTCATGCAATATGTCACATTAATTATGTGCTGGCTCTATCATCTCACTGGTACTCAACAATTCTTCAAATTAGTACACAATTAGATCTTTCATTAGTATGGTAAAGGAAAAATTTCAGATGAGGGCAAACAGTATTGAATTACTGTGAAATTACGGCTAAAATGGAAACTTCTCCCTAAATTTTATTGGATTTCTTTAATGTAGTCCTTTTATAAAGCAGTAAAAACATCTTTGAAATGGTTTTTCCTATTGCCTGATGGGAGGTACAACCAAAGAAATATTTTGTGTTCATAAGCCACCACAAGAACGCAAAAGTGTCTACCTGCTTGGTAGATTTTTCACTGTTAACAGTGAAAGTCACCAAGTTCCAAAATCTTAAACCTGGCAGGACACTAACTCAAAGATCATCTAGGTTCAATTTTCTCATTTGACAGGTGAAGAACTTAACACAGGCTTTACATTTCTTTCATTTTTTAAATGGCATCTTCACCCCAATTACTTGTCAAGATAATTTTTAGTATTCATTTTTACAAGATTTTCAGTTTTTAATTTTTTCCCTCCTCCCCCTTTCTAAAATGGTAGGCAATTTGATATAGGTTATACATGTGCTATCATGTAAAACATATTTCCCTATTAGTCACAATTGTGAAAGAAACGGATCAAAAGGAAAAAAATTACGAAAAAGAATAAAGTAAGTGAAAAAAGTATACTTCCATCTACATTTAGAGTTTATTGGTTCTTTATCTGGATATAGACAGTATTTTACTTTGTGAGTCTTTTATACTTGTCTTGGATCACTGTGCTGCTGAAAAGACCTGAGTCATTCATAGCTGATCATCACAAAATGTTGCTGATAGTTTTTACAATGTTTTCCTGGTTCTGCTCATTTCATTTTGAATCACTTCGTAAAAGTCTTTCTAAGTTTTTCTGAAATCTGCCTGTTCATCATTTCTTACTGAATAATAGTATTCCATTATATTCATATGCTTGTTTAGCCATTCCTCAATTTCTAATATTTTGCCATCATGAAAAGGGTTGCCATAAATATATTTGCACATGTAGGTCCTTTTCCCTTTTTTATGAGCTCTTTGGGATACAGACCTAGTAGTGGTATTGCTGAGTTAAAGTGTATGCACAGTTTAGTTGCTCTTTGGGCACAGTTTCAAATTGCTCTCTAGAACGGCTGGATCAGTTCACAACTCTACCAACAATGCACTAGTGTCCCAATTTTCACACATCCTCTCCAACATTTATCATTTTCCTTTTCTGTCATATTAGCCAATCTGCTAGATGTGAAGTAGTACCACAGAGTTGTTTTAATTTGCATTTCTCTAATCAAACGTGATTTAAAGCACTTCTTCATATGCCTAAGGATAGCTTTAATTTCATCTGAAAACTGCCCGTTTATATCCTTTGACTATTTATCAATTGGGGAATGGCTGTATTCTTATAAATTTGACTCGGTTTTCTATATATTTGAGAAATCAGGAGTTTATCAGAGACGCTTGTTGTAAAGATTGTTTCCCAGCTCTCTGCCCTCCTTCTAACCTTGGTTGAATTGGTTTTGTTTGTAATGCTCTCCATCTCTCGTTTGGTTATGAACCTGTAATACATTAACTTCTCCTTTAAGAATTTGGATGCTATACTACTTGATGCATATATATGTAGGACTGGTATTACTTCATTGTCTATGGTACCTTTTAGCAAGATGTAGTTTGCTTCCTTATCTCTTTTAATTAATTCTATTTTTGGTTTTGCTCTGTGTGAGATCAAGATCGCTACCCCTGCTTTGTTTTTCTTTTTTTTAACTTCAGCTGAAAACATAAGAAATTCTGCTCCAGTCCCTTACCTTTACTCTGTGTGTGTGTGTGTGTGTCTCTACTTTAAGTGTGTTTTTTGTAAACAACATATTATAATATTCTTTTTTTGATCTACTCTGCTATTCGCTTCAGTTTTATGGGAGAGTTCATCCCATTCACATTCACAGCTATGATTACTAACTATCTTTTCCTCCATCCTATTTTTCCTCCTATTTGTCCTCTCTCTTTTCACTCTTTCCCTCCTCAATGGTGTTTTGCTTCTGTCTACCACCTCCCCCAGTCTGCCCTCTCTTCTGTCCCCAACCCCTTACTTAATCTCTTCTCTTCCTACTTTCCTGTTGGGTAAGATAGAGAAGGAGATTCAAACAATGCCCATTGCCCACTCTTCCATCTTTCTCTCCACTGTGACAGGTTTCTGTGCCTCTTCATGTGAAATAATTTACTCCATTCTACCTCTTCCTTCCTTCTCCATCCAGTGTACTCCTCTTTCTCATCCCTTAATTATTTTTGCATGTCATTCCCTCAAATTCACCTCATTCTCATATCCTCTGTCTATGTATATTCTTTCTAGCTGTACTACTAGTGGTTCAGTTTTTAAGAATTATAACTATCATCTTCCCATGTAGGGATGTAAACAGTTAAGCTCTAATGAATCCCTTATGTTTTCTTGTCCTTTTTTGGCTTCTCCTGGGTCTTGATATTGGAAATCAGATTTTTTTTGTTCAATTCTGATCTTCTCTTTCTGAAAGCTTGAAATCCTTCTATTTCATTGAACAACTATTTTTTCTCCTTGAAGTATTATGTTTAATTTTGCCAGGTAGGTGATTCTTGGTTGTAGTCCTACCTCATTTGCCTCCCAGATAACATGTTCCATGACCTCTGATCCTTTTATGTTGCAGCTGCTAAATCCTGTGCAATCCTGATTGTGGCTCCCTAATATTTTAATTGTTTCTTTCCGGTCACTTGCAGGATTTTTTCCTTGACCTGATAGTTCTAAAATTTGGCTATAATGTTCCTTGGAGTTTTTATTTTGGTATCTCTTTCCTGAGGTGATCAGTGGATTCTCTTTTTGCCCTCTGGCTCCAAGATATCAGGGCAATTTTCCTTGATAATTTCTTGAAAGATGCTGTCCAGGTCCTCCTTTTGATTACGGCTCTCAGGTAGTCCAATGATTCTACTATTGTCTCTCCTGGATCTATTTTCCAGGTCAGTTGCTTTTCCAATGAGGTATTTTACATTTTCTTTTATTTTTTCATTCTTTTGAATTTGTTTGATAGATTCTTGATGTGTCATAGAGTCATTAGCTTCCACTTGCCCAATTCTAACTTTTAAGGGGTTGTTTCCCTCAGTTAGCTTTTATACTTCCTTTTCCATTTGGCCAATTCTAATTTTTAAGCAGTTGTTTTCTTTTCCCATGTTGACTCTGTTTTCATAATTCTCTTGCATCACTCTCATTTTCCCCCCAATTTTCCTTCTACCTCTCTTACATGAAGTTTAAGCTACTTTTACAGCACTTTTATGAGTTCTTTCTGGACTTGAGACCACTTTCCATTTTTCTTTGAGATTTTGCCCATAGGTGTTTTGACATTACTGTCCTCTTCTGATTTTGTGTCTTGATCTTCCCTGTCACCATATCTTTCTACGGTCAGATTCCTTTTTTGTTGTTTTTTGTTCATCTTTTTTGGCCTTTTCCCTTTTTTAAAATTTGAGCTCTGATCCAGGGGTGGAAGGGACACTGTCTCAGGCTTCTTGTTCCAGGGGCTACAGGCCCTGGCTGTTTACCTGGTGCTGCACTGATGTTGCCCTGAGGCCCCTGGGGGTCCCTTGTATCTGGTGCTGTGCTGAGGGGGTGGGATAGGGGCTGGTGCTGCTGGAGGCTATAGGGGTCTGGCAGTTTACCTGAAGCTAAGCCATGGTCCTAGTGCTGGTGTCTGGTGTGTGCTGAGGCCAGTGAGTTGTTTCTGAATTTCCCCAGGGCTACACTGAAGCACATGGTATTCTGGCTGCTGTAGGTGGCCTGTTTTCCCAGGGCTATGCTGAAACACGTGATGGTTCTTGGAGCTGGAGTCTGACCATTCCTCTAGCAACGCTGAAGCACGTGGGGGCTTTTGGTGTTGGCATTTGCCTGCTCCACTGCACTGAGGCTCAGGGTTTCCTGCTGGTTTGCTGAGGTGGGGCTTGCTGTTGGCTTGATGGGATCCTTCTTGTCTTGGACTGTGCTTCCCTTTTACCCAAGTGAGATAGACTTTTCTTGCCAATCTTCCAAGTTTCTTGGGCTAAAATATTGTTTCACCCTGTCTTTTTGCTGGACTTGGTGTTCCAGAATTTGTTTTGGGGCACTAGGCTTTGAATTTCTAATAGATACATCTTAATTATTTAAATTCCAATGAATTCCTAATGAGTCTCAGTGAAACTGTAAAGTGATATTTTCCAAGGATCAGGAATAATGATATTAGAAAAAGGCAACATTATATTTGGTTCCTTGAAATGGTTATCATAGAAGTATCACGGCATCATGATGATAGATGTGAAAGGTGAGAATACACTAGTATTTTATATGGTATTATAGAACACAAAAGTGAAATATGCAATATATGAAAACCTCTCTCTAAAGAAAAGATGGTCCCCATTCCCTAATTGATAAATGATTTTAGGACATGAACAATCAATTGTCAAGGGAAGAAACTCCAGTGATCAATAGCCATATGAAAAAATGCTCTAAATCACTAATAACTAGCATAGTGCAAATCAAAACAAGTGAGATGCCGCTTCAGACAAATGTTGGAGGGACTGTGAGAAAACATATACATTAAAGTACTGTTGGTGGAGCTATTAATTAGTCTATTTATTGTGGAAAGCAATCTGGAACTATACCAAAAAATGATAACACCACTAGGCATATGTCCTAAAGAGAGGGAAGAAGGACACATATGGACACAAATATTTTATGGCAACTCTTTTTGTTGCAGCAAAGCACTAGACACAAAAGAGGTTGTCCATCAATTGAGAAATAGCTGAACAAATTATGGTATATGGATGAGTTGAAATATTATTGCATTATAAGAAATGATAAAAAGGATGGTTTCAGAGAAACCTGGGAAGACTTCTATAAACTGATGTAAAAAGTGAGCAGAACCAGAAGAAAATTTACACAAGAACACTGTAAAAAAGAACAACTTTTGAAAGCCATAAGAATTCTGATCAATGCAATGATTGAGCATGATTCCAGGAGAGAGATGATGAAGCAAGTTACTCATCTCCTTACAGAGAAGAGAGGGACTCAAGATGCAGAATGAGACATGGTCAAAATAAGAATCTGTTTTGCTTGACTGGATATTTGTGACAAGAGTTTTGTTCTTTATCCTCCTATTCTCACGGAGGGAGGGGTACAGATGAGGTGGCAGGGAAAGAAAACAAATGCTTGTTAATTGAAAAAACATATATAAAAAGATGGCTTTAGATATCCCATCACTCCCTAAACTGATCCTTCTGAAGTTACACATCATGACCCTTTTCAAAATCCTTAACAGTAACTTTCAAACATTTTATGCATTATCAGCTACCCAATGACAACACTGAGAAATCCCTGTTAGATAAAAAAAGCAAGCCATAATTCAGAGATGTTCAGAGACAGTGACTTGCCCAAGATACCACTATTCACATTAGGAGTCTTTTGACTCCTAGACCCATGCCTCTGCCCCTATATCATGCTGTTTTTCCAAGCAGAGGTGTTCTACTCGTGGCAAACTAATGGAAAAACACAGACAACAGTTTCTCAGAAGAGCAGGCATGGATGAGTTGTGCTTACCATCCCTGGAAGGAATATCTACATTGATAAGCTCATGGATCTGAGTACTGGAATATTCATTCCTCTCTATATATTGTGTAAGGACCAATGAATGAGACACATACAAAACTATAACCATGGTGCTTAGAGAGACAGCACAGTACCCTGGGCAAATCACCCTCTTTGAACCTTAGCATTCCTTTCCCCTATAATGGGCATATATGTCTTCCCTGCCTTGTAGGGATATTATGAGTCCAAATGAAATGATAGGAGAAATCACCTTGAAGACTCTAAAAGGGTACATAAATATAAGATATTAAAAAAAAGAGACAAGGTGGCAAAATGGAAGTATTGGATAAGGAAATTAGAAGGTGTGTGTCCCAGTCTCAGCTCTACTACTATTTGTCTGTGGGACCTTGGCAAAGTGTCATTTAATTTCTGAGTCTCATTTACTACATCTAATTCCAGTACTGTTTACCTCACAGGGTTGTGGTGAGGATCAAAGGAGATAATATATGTTGAAGTGGTTTGTAAACTGTAAAATGCTACACAAGTGTAATGTATTACTATGATCAGGAGACAGAGAAACAAAGAACCAAATACCAAATATAACAAGAGCTCAAATTTACGTGGTACTTTACAGTGACCTTTTCTTGCTGTAAGACAGGGCCGGTGATGCCAGCCCCAGATGCAGGGAGGCTGGCTAGTGACGTGGCTAGTAATTGATCAGGTCTGGGAAAGGAACGCAGATTTCACTCCAAATCCAGTGCTCCACAATGAGACCATGCTCCTAATTCGGCCAATTGTGAACAGCAGCAATTAAAAAAGCCAAAAAATTAGAAATCCCTCAAAGGGGAAAAAAGAAGGATTTTGGATTTATGAAGTCAATTAATCCTTCCAGAAAAGTGAAAGGAAGAGAAACTTCTGAGATACTAATCAATAGTCAATAATATAAATGTAAATAGTAAAATCTCAACCCCTTCCTAATTGATGAAAAACGTGTCCAAAATAATTACACGTGTAGCCGACAAGACCACCAGCTGGACGAGGAGTTACCTTGGCAACTGTTTGTTCAGCAACAGTGCTCGGCCGACGCTGGCGGGCATCAACTCTCTGCTCCACAGGGAAGCTGCTCCGGTGAGATTTCAGCCTTTCCACCAATAAGTAATAGATAGCAGCAAAGTGGTTATAACTCTTGTTCTGCAAAGACTGAAAATGAGAAAACAAATATCTGAAGGCCAGATGCCATAACTAATCAAGTTCATGCTTCCACACTTTCCTCAAGAATCAGGAAAATCATAGGGACAAAGTGAATTATGCCTCAAAGTGAAGTCCAAGCATCCAGGGTACAAATGAGAAAACAGCAATTCCCTACATTTGACTAGCTCCTTTAAATGAAGAGCAATCAATGGTAACTTGCTACTCTTCATGCAGAAGGGCATGAGGTCTCAGCCTCATGAAGGAACCTTGTCTCAATCATTTTACAGCTGCAACCTTAATGCCTATCAGGTCAGTCAGCAATCTGACCTGGGCAGTACTAATTTTGTAGCTTAACATAGGCCCAAAACACTCACAATTCTAGATCAAGACTCATGGGAGTTTTGGGAAAACATTCTGGAATTTATTTGGTTTGAGGAAAAGACTAGATTAAAGAGATACTCTTTGTGTTCTTAGATAATTTTTTCCTCTTGCTTTTGTAGTCCTACCGTTTTGATACTTTGAAAACAGAGCTCCCTCCCAGTTTTTTACCTCCTGGCCTTCCCATTTTCCCAACTAGAACAGAGTAGAGATTGACTGACTGCTCCTTTAGCTCATGGCTTCCTTGGACAGGGAAGCGTGACTGCTGGGTTGAGCTTTTAGTATAGAGCAAGAGCCAGCTTGTAAGACCTCCACTCCCCTCAAGCCACCACTCTGGATGCCTTATAGGAATAGGCAAAGAAAAACTTCTGGGCAGATGAGAAAGCCACAGTACAGTTTTTCCCTGGGCTCCAGTGGAGAAAGAAAAGCTGGGAGGGTCTTCATCTCCAAAATAGCCAAAGGAATATTTTTCAGCTCCTTCTTGTTCTCACCTTCCAAAAAATACCTTAAGCCTGGTTCACTAATTGTTGTCAAAAGTCTTCTGCATGCATGTAGCCTATCATAATGGTATCTTTTCTGGATGGAACAAAATAACCTGCAAGCATTTTATGAATTCTCAGTTCTATGAATTCTAAAACTTCCAAATCAAACTAAATCTTTTGTTTCTTGTTCACTTGTCTCCTCTATTTTCCCTCTCATTTCTTTTTTTGCTTTCTTTGCCCTTCTCTTGCCTAAGGCCCCCCCCATCCCATTTCCCACTCATTTTTCAACCACTTTTGACACACAGACATAACTTTATCCAAATTCTAGGAATTATCTTCCCATGATTCATTTGCTAATTTTCATCTTTTTCTTTTCTGAGGGGTAAAGGGCAGGTCTTTATCACTTTTAGGTAGAAAGTACAAGGAAAGGGACTGATACAATGAATATAATGTAAGTAAATAGATAGTAGGAGACTGATATAACCTGAAGGGAAGGCTAAGTAATACTTATTCTGGTGATAGTCCTGGCTGGGGGTAGGGAGGACAGTGGAGCGGGGGGGGGGCGGGGAAGGAAGGGAAATAAGCATTCATTGAGTAACTACTATGTGCTATGCACTGTGCAAAGGCATAATCACTTCACTACTTCGTGACATTAGTGCTGATCACAACCCCTCTTCAGGTTTCTCCACCACTCTCACCCAAGCTCTCCACAGATGACGTGGCCAACAGACTGGAGGTCATCCTCTGGATCTTCCTATTCCATGTGTACCATGAAGCACTCTGGCTATCTCTCCTATTATCTATCGATCTCTTTAGATGGCTGACCGGCCTCCTCTTCCAATTTGCTTACTTGAGAACAATGACTTTTCTGCTATTTCTTGTGCTATTTTACTTGTACTCACCAGGCATCTATCACATTATGTTTAGAGATGCCAAGTATAATCAAATCAGAAAATAGCTTTGGTTCCTTTACCTCCATGGTTTTCTGTTGATCTATTCCAAGGCTATGCATCAGCCGCAGGACCTGCTCATTATACTCCCCAAGAGATGGCTCATTTTCCTGCTCTTGTGGATAAAGAACAGGTCTTTGTACAGGAACTTCCACCAGCATCCACTTGTGCTCTTTTATTTGGGCTATTGTCAGCCTCTTAGATGGATCTAAGACCAACATCCTTCGGATAAGATGCTCACACTCTAGGGAAAATAAAAAGTTAAAAGGAAATAGTCAAATAAAGCACCTGGTAAACAAGACTGTCTTTGCCTTATTTGACATACAGGTCCACATGCAAGTGAATGCTGCTGATATGTATTTTGGCAATTTGTGGAGAGTGAAAAACAGTGGTCACAGCTGTATCTGTCCCATTTTTTGTGTTAAATGAACTTCCTCACTAACAGAAAACAAACCTCTGGTTACAAACTTAGTTTTCTCCTAAAAACAAAACCAAACTTTACTCTTAAAGCAGGGAATTAACAACTTATTCCCAAGTAGCTTCCAAGTCTAATTGATGTCTCTTAAGGAGTTTAAGTGAGGAAAGTAACAACTGATAAATAGGAAAAACTTCTATTTAGCCTTTTTAGTAAGTAAATGCACAGACTTCTGATGGATTCTATAGCATCCTTCTCAGAGAATTGGCTTCTTTGATAATACTCAATGTTAGACATAGTTTAGAAATTACACTAGGTATTTTTAAGTAGGAAAGTTCAAGCATGATCAGGCTATCTATCATACATGTGTCATTTAGTTGTTGCATAGGCTCTAGGTAGATTTTACAGTAATTTACAAAGATTTCTCTGAATGGCTTCTTCATTTAAAGATGTATAAGTAATAGTAAATTCAAGAAAAACTGCTGGCCAGCTTTACTTATTAACAGAATCAAAATTAGTAATTTTGTAAGATACTTGGGTTCACAGAGATAGAAACAACAGCAATGATGACAATCTAAAATTTAGTCAGAGAAGGGATATAAATAACTTCCTCCTATTTAACAATCCAAAAGAGGCTGGAAGGGACTAGGAAGTTATCAATTCAATTAAATAACTCTGCCAATTAGTTGTTATTAGTTTGTGACTTCCTGCCAAAGGAAAAAGGAAAATCCATTTTCTATTCAGAATAAAACGGTTGTGAATCTGTATCTTCAATGTGTTTCTTTGTCTAAAATAAACTTGAGATATTTATAGACTCAGGGTGAATGGGACTGAAAAGACTTGCTGCTTTTAATCTGTTAAATTGTTTCTGTTTTCAGTCACAAGTAAGGCTGGAACTCTGTCTCACCTACACAGAGGATTTTTTTTTCTCATTTCCATAGCTTCTGAAATGATTCAGTCACTTTTTTTTTTTGCCACCTACAACTTTTGGAAAACATAGAGACTTTTAGGAAGGCACTTCATTCAGAGCTTAAAATCTGTAAAGCACAATCAGCAAGACAAATAGCTTACCTTCTGACATGAAATAAGGAATCCGGAATCTTCCTTCCAGAACCCTTTGCCTCAGGATGGGGAGAGTTGGGCCATCAAAAGGCAGAGCTCCACAGACAAGGACGTAAAGAACTACTCCCATGCTCTAAGATAAAAAATAATAATGCACCCACTGTACTACCTAATATTTCAAATGCAATTTACTTTGTTAAGTATCTTCAGTTACTATTAAAGTCTCATTAATTGAAGAAAGTAAAATTCCTGTTTGAATTTTCAGAAATGGAGAATCACAGAACTGAAAGAAATCTAAAACCCTGAGTTTTTTCCTCCTTACAATATCAAGAGATTGGTCATTTAGATGAATGTTGAATTTTAATTACTGCGGATCTAGGGAAGGTTACACATTTGATACCAGAATCCCTTTTCCTGGGTATCCTGTTCTATGAGCTCTTAGCACACAGAGTCCAATGGACAGGAAAAAAACCAAAACCCCCCCAACAATATCTACTGCCTAAGTTCGGGGAACCTTGGGGATGGGCCAAAGGGGTTGAGTATTATGAATCCACCAATCAATATTTATTAGGCACTAGAAGGTACTAAGGATACAAATACAATAAATGAAAAAAACTTATTTGCAAAACATTTAGATTCTAAAGGGAGATAAGTGTATCTATAACAACAATTCACAGAATAAATAAAAATCAATACAAAATGGTGAAATAGAAGGTAGGGAGGGAGAGCTTTAGCGACTGGAAGAAATCAGGTAAAACTCTGAGGAGAAGGTAGTGCTTGAGTTTCATCTTGAAGGAAGAGCATTATTCAATAAAGTACAGGTAAGGAGGGAATATGTTCTAAGCAGTTAATAAGTAGATATTAAGTAACTACTTGGGTGCTAGGCACTGTGGACAGTCCCTGGTTTTAAAGAGTATACAATATAATGGAGGAGACAATATGCAAACAAATGTACACAAAGCAAGTTGTGTACCGGTTAAATAAGAAATAATTAACATAGGGAAAGCACTGGAATTAAGAGGAGCTAAGGAAGGCTTCCTATAAGAGATGGAATTTTAGTTGGGACTTAAAGGAAGGCAGGAAGTCAGTAGTAAAAATGGAGGAGGGAGAGCATTCCAGGCATGGGGGACAGACAGAGAAACTGCCCAGAGCTGACAGATAGAGTACCTTGTTTGTGGAACCAACAAGAGGTCAATGTTACCGGATTGAAGATTATGTGTCTAGAAGTAAGGTGTAAGAAGACTGGAAGGGTAGGAGAGGGTTGGGTTATAAAGGGCTCTGAATATCAAACAGAGTATTTTGTATTTGACCATAGAGGAAATAGAAAGCCACTGGAGTTTATGGAGTGTGTATGTCGGGGGGAGAGCAGGGAGGGGACACATACATATGGTCAGACCTGTGCTTTAGGAAAATTACTTTAGCGGCCTGAATAGAGAATAGACTGGAGTGGGGAGAAACTTGAGGCAGGCAGATATACTATCAGGCTATTGCAATAGTCCAGGTGTGAGGTGACCAAGGCCTGCACTAGAGTGCTTGCAATATAAGAAGAGACAAGGGGGCGTATATGAGAGATGTTACAAAGGTGAAATCAATAGGCCTTGGCAACAGATTAGATACAGGAGGTGAGAGACAGTGAAGAATCCTGGATGACTCCTAGGCTGTGAGCCTGAGAAACAGGGAGAATGGTGTTGTCTGCCATAGTAATACGGAAAATAGGAAAGGGGGGGAAGTTTTTTGGGGAAAGATAATGAGTTCCATTTTGGATATATTGAGTTTAAGATGTCTACTGGACATCCATTTTGAGATGTCTGAAAGGCAGTTGGAGATTTGAGATTGGAGGTCAGCAGAGAGTTTAGGGTAGGATGGGTAGATTTGCGAATCATTAGCATAGAGATGAAAATAAAATCCACAGAAGCTGATGAAATCACCAAGTGAAGTAGTGTAGAGGGAGGAGAGAAGAGGGCCCAGGACAGAACCCTCAGACACACCTACAGTTAGAGGGTGTGATCTGGAAGAGGATCCAGGGAAAGAAACAGAAAAGGAGCAGTCAGATAGGCAGGAGACCCAGGAGAGAGTGGTGTCCCAAAAACCTAGAGAGAAGAGAGTATCAAAGAGCAGAGAATGATCAACACTGTCCAAAGCTGCAGAGAGGTTGAGGAGAATGAGGACTGAGAAAAGGCCTCTGGATTTGGCAGCTAAGAGATCATTAGTAACCTGGGAGAGAGCAGTTTCAGTGGAATGATGAGGTCAGAAGCTGGATTAGAAGAGGGGTTAAGAGTGAGAGGAGAGAAGGCAGAGGCACCTATTGTAGGCAGCCTTTTTGAGGAGTTTGGCTACAAAGGATAGAAGAGATATGGGATGACACGGGGGATGGAAGAATAAAGTGAGGATTTTTTCAGAGTGTGGGAGAAATGGGCATGTCTGTAGGCAATAGGAAATGAGCCAGCAGACAGATAGCAGAGAGACTGAAAATAAGTGGTAGGCAGGGGATGGCAGAGAGGGCAATCTATTGGAGGAGACGAGATGGAAGAGGATTTGCTTCAACAAGTAGAGGGTAGAGGGTAAGGCCATTTCATCATGTGAGACAGGAGTGGAGGAGAGAGGGGCAGAAGGCACCTGAGTAACTGAGGAAGAGGGAGGTCATGGTGAATGGCTTCATTTTTTCTGTAAAATATGAGGTGAGGTTCTCAGCTAGGGGTGGGGAAAGGGGAACCATGGGGGCTTAAGGAGGGATGAAAAAGTTTGGAAGATCTGCTCAGGAGAGTGGGAGAGTGAGTTGATAAGGGAAGTACAGCAGGATTTCCTAGCAGCAGTGAGGGCTGAGATGAGGTTGTGTCACCATAAATTTGTAGTGGACCCAGTCAGAACAGTTGTGTGATTTTCTCCATCTTAATTCAGGAGCATGGGTGTGGAAACAGAGGTGGTAAGTGATGGGAAGGATCCAAGGATGAGGCTTGGCTGGGTGTAACCGGGGATATGATAAGGGACTAGGGATTCAAGAGAGGAAGAGAGTATAGAGTTGAATCGGTTTAGCAAGAAGTCAAGATGGCTGAAAGAGGAGAGAGTGGCTAGTGCAGGGGAGATGGCTTGGGAGAGGATTGAGGGGTCAGAGGATTGGAGGTCACAGTGCGTGAAGAATAGGAGGCCCAGAAACAGGAGATGGAGTATTGTATGTGACGAACAGAGAAAAGGACAGTTTGGCTGGGGAGAGGGACTGAACGGTCTGTAGAAAGAGGTTAGGGTCAGGTTGTGAAGGGTTTTAAAAGCTGAACAAATGGAGCTGTATTTGATGCCAATGGCAATAGAGGGGCATTGGAGTTGAAAGAGTAGTGAAGGTAACATAATCAGATCTGCACTTAAGGAAAATCACTTTGGCAGAAATCTGACAGCTAGAATGGAGTGGGGAGAGACTTGAGGCAGGGGACCAATTAGAAGGCTGGGGGAATAATCTTGGTGACAGGTGAGTGGCTGCTGGGGCAGCAGAAAGAAGGGGTCTGATGCAGGAGAAGTGAAGGTAGAAAGTACGCATCTCACATGTCACTTCTGATTGCTGTCTACCTCAACAGAATGTATGCTTTACTCTGTACCTCCAGCATTCAGTGAAGTGCCTGGCACACAGAGCCCTTTTTCAATCTTTCATTCATATCTGTGATGAGATACAGTAAGTAGTCAAGAATAATACTTAGGTCATGAGCCTTGGGAGACTAGAGGTATGTTAGTATCTTCAAGAGAAATAGAAAAGTTTGCAAGACAAGTGGGTTTGTGGAGAAAGGTGAGTTCTTTTTTGGACGTATTAAGTTTGAGATGTGTACAGGACATCCAATTTGAAATGTACAATAGTTAATTGGTGATAGGAGATTCAAGCTTGGAGGAGAGACTGGGGTTGGATATATAAGTCTGGGAGTCTTCTCCATTGGAATGACAATAAATCCATGGAAGCAGATGAGGTCATCAGGAGAGAATGTAGAAAGAGGAAAGGGCACAGGATAGAGTGTAAGGGAATGCCCACAAAACATATTTAATATAGAAAGAAAGAAAATACCCAAATATCCAGTTGTGGCCCTTCATACTGTTGTCCTTCAAAGACTTCTGGGGCTGCATAAGGAGGGCTGCCACACCACGTAGCCAGTGGTTCACCACTCTTAAAGAAATTTCCAAAACCAAAATCTGTTGAGATGGAAATACATGTTACTTTCGTCAAAAGCCGTGAGACTATACTGAATTACTGCAAGGTCTATATCAACAAAGGCTCTTCTCTAAAGGAAAACCAGAGATGGAGGACCACCTTTCAAATCATTTTTTCCCCTTAAAGTTAAAGGAGAATCCCTCCATGTGGCTTATCCTTTTGATTTTTAATCATTCTAGGCTTCATAAACCCCACTTCAACCAGTTAATGTTTTATCTATTGATTTTATTTGTAGTATCAGTTAGACAAAGCACTGAACACTTAAGAACAAGGGTGGGGAAGCTGTAGGCCACATGTGGCCTTTGGATTCAGTCAAAGGGCCGCATTTGAAGACCTAGAGGGCCACATGTGGCCCCGAGGCCGCAGATTCCCCACCACGTTTAAGAAGAAAAAATAAGCTAGACATAAAGGATAATAACCAACACTGATGCTTTAAAGTTCACTGAGTATTTCATCAACAAGCCTGTGAGAGCGGAACCACTGGGAGGCAGCCATTCTTCCCATCCATCAGAGAAGCAAACTGAGGCTCAGAGTGAGTAAGCAACCTGCTCACAGTCACCTAACTCCCAAGTATCAGAGGCCGAACTTGAAGCCCTGGGGTATATCTCACTCCAAGTCTAACATCTGACCCACTATCCCATATGAAAACATGCCCACTCAGACACCATTTTCAGCTCACGTAATGAATGTTTTCCCACAGACAGAGCAGTAGGTTGTCAAAGTCTCATCTAACTTTTCCTGACAGTTCAGTGGAGAGTTCCTTAACTATTCTCTACTGAGTAACTGTATTCTCAGTGCTAGTTTGCAGGTATTTCCTAGGCATGTGATCCAGAAATATTGTGGTCATCCATAAACACCAGTAATACCATGTATTTAATCATATTTAAAATACAATCATATGGCAAAAGAACAATCTTGTTCAACTGTTGAGGTCTATTATGTAATTAAATTAAATTGATTATACTATGAAACCACGACATAACTCAAAATGAATTTTTAAAAGCTATATAAAAATAAAAATAATCTGTCCCCATTATAAGTTATTAAAAACAAAGAAATAAGTTATTTTAATTTCTTCCTGAGAGATAAGTATCTGATGTCCTTTCCTTGCCCCCGGTCCTAGACCATCACAACAAAGCAGAATGGCTGGTTCCTTAGCAACATGTAATTTTTTTCCTGGTAAAATTTATTTTAATACCTTTCCAAACTATTTTTGTGTTATACAACAAGTTTTACTTCTTCCCAATTCAAAAAAGTCAGATGATTTAATGTCCATAACTATTCTGAACAGCAGTGCCATGGATGAATCAATGTATCAAACGAACCATCATTTTTGTCTTTAACAGCATTTACTACATGCCAAGGACCAAGACCTCAGCTCAGGACTACCTGAAAGCAAAGCAGCATTACTGTCAAGAGGTGATATTGTTTAGGCTTCCATTGCATCAATAAAAAGTTCACTCACTAAAGTAGATTCAGTTTGACCTGACAGTTCTGCTGCATGGGAAAAAGGTTACCATACAGTCACGTTCGGATGCCTTTAATATACAAGAATGTGGAAGGAAAACTTCAAGCCTAATTTGTTTCCACGAATATTGCTTTTATCTTTTTGCTAGCCTTCCTGCATCTGACATCAATGTCCTCATATGCCTCATTATAGATTCAAATGGCTTTTTGTAATGTTCTATTGTAAATGCTCAAGCAAACGTTTAAAACTTTGTTCTCAATAATGGCTAATTTTGGTTGGAGTATGAGCATTCAATTAGCCTAAGTCATGCTGTGGATAAATGGTCTCTTCAACAGAAAGAAAAGTCTACCCAATTTTCTTGATCATTATGTTGTAGATTTGGACATGGAAGGGAACTGAATTCACAGACCTACAGCTTAATTAGAATCCTAAACCTATCAACAAAGGATATATACAGGGAGAAGAGTTTATTCCTCGATATAAGCCACATCACAATAGTACTGCAGTGGCAATTTCATGAAGACTGGGGGTGACTGAGGGGTGCAGTGTGTGTGTGAAGAGGATTTCCATATGGACCAAATGGGTGCTCCCTACATAAGGTGGTTTAAGGCTGAAGTCTCCGAAGTGGGAGCCCAAGGGCTTTCCAGGTCCATAGTCTAATCAGAAGGGGTAGGATGTGATCAGCCTATCAGAGGATGGGAAGATGAGTCACATACTTCCCCCCCCCACTCCAAGATGAATGAATAAAACATTTATTAAGTACTTACTACGTGCAAAGCACTACACTAAGTGTTGCAGATACAAAAAGTAGGACAGACCCTGCCTTCAAAGAGTTACATTCTAATGGAGGAGACAACACAAGGAAGCAGCAAGTCAGCTGGAAGTCTCAAGGTCCTGAGGGCGCAAAGGCAAAGCAAATGGTAATGCCTCTTTTTCATGTCATTTCCACTGATACTGTGATTATCAGTTTCTGATTTTGAACCACTTGACAGTGCCAAGGACGTTGGTGGCGAGACCTTTGTTTTCTGGGTCTCCAGTACCTGGGGCTGCAGCTCCCTCAGGAGCAGTGGCCAGGCAGCATCCCTACAGGGGTTACACCCCAGGGTGACACCTGCGTGCACTGGGCTGGAAGTGGTGCTATTTCCAAAGCTCCTGGGTTCCAGGTCCTGGTGGTCTCCATTCGGATCTGTGGGAAGATGGTGGTCAAGGTGGTGGTGGGGGTCTGACTTGCCTGGCACACACTGCCTCCTGTTTCTCTCTCAGGGTGGTCGTGTTGCTTCAGCTAGGCCAGCCTGTCTGTCCCGTGTTTCAGTTGGTGGAGGCCCCTTCTCCACTGGAGTTGCTTCCCTGGATGACTACTGGGAGGGCTGGGCTAGAAGCCCAGAGGTCTGGGAGGTATTTCTACTCCCAGGGCTCTGGTGCCTATCTGAGAGTTGGTGATGTTTGGTCAGCAATTATTGTTGGGAGTAAGAAAGGTGGGCACCCTCTCCAAGCCAATCATGGATCTTATCCTCAATACAACCATACCTACCCTTATCCCCCAAGACTCCCCCATTTTCCACTCTGTCCCACAGTTGTGCAAGCCACCAAACTCCCCCTTCTGAGCCAAATACAGGTCCCTCAAGGCAGTTATAACCTATCTGCTCCCCTAGTTTGTATAACAACAGCTACATAGGTACCACTGGGAAAAGCCTGGTCCCTCTAAGCACACCCAGTCCCTATCTCTCAGATCCTGTCATGCGGGCCCCTTTCAAGGGCAGTGACCAGTAAGAAAGAAGCCTACCTTCCTCTTTTTCATTTCAAATGGAACAAAGTGAGTTGGCATAAGAGAGGAGTAGGCCTGGATGGGTTGTAAGAGATCACAAAACTCACTACATGATCTTTTCTTCCAAACCCATCCCTCTTCAAAATGCTCTAATTCTTCTTTTAAATTAATTAATTAATTTTTAGTTTTCAACATTCACTTCCATAATATGTTGAGCTTTAAATTCCCCCCCCTTCCTCTCCTCCCCCCTCTCCAAGATGGAGTACAATCTGATATAGGCTCTACTTACACATTCATATTAAACATATTTTCACATTAGTCATGATATAAAGAAGAATTAGAACTAATGGGAAGAACCACAAGATAGAAGAAACAAAACAAAAAAAAAAAGAAAAGAAAAGGAGAGTAAATAGTATGCTTCCATCTGCATTCAGTTTCATAGTTCTTTCTCTGGATATGGATAGCACTCTTCATCATGAGTCTTTTGGAGTTGTCTTAGTTCCTTGCATTGCTGAGAAGAGACAAATCTATCAAAGTCCACATTGCACAATGTGGCTGTTACTGTGTACAATGTTCTCCTGCTTCTGCTCATTCCACTAAGCATCAAGAACTCTCCAATTCTTATTGGAACCTAGTCACCTAGGTTCACAACTTTGGGGTCATCCTCAACTTCTCACTCTTCCTGACCCTGTATCCACAGCAGGTTGTTGTTTCTACCCACAAATCTCTTCCATCTGTCCCCTTCTCTCTCCTCACATGGCCTTTCCCCAGTCCAGGTCTACATCATCTCTCACCTGACTACCGCAGTAGCCTTGGAACTGTTCTCCTTCCTCATCTCTTACCCCCTTTCAAACTATTCTCCTTCCTTTTTAAAGTCCATTTTTGGTGAATATTTTACAATATACTTAATTGTAAGTAAAGAAGTACATGTGTATAATTTTAAAATACATAAATATGTACATATTGAAGGGTGCATACTCAAAAATGGTTTACTGAGAGAGGTGAGTGATTAAAGAGTTTAGAGATCACTGCTTTACTGGATGCCAACCTAAGCAATCCCTGATGTCTGATGTTTCTGTTATTAAATTTGTTGCCCAAGAGCCTTGCAGAGACTGGTACATCTGCCCTGAATTAAAAACAACAACAACAAAATGTTTTTAAGTGTCCAGCACTGGTTAGGCCCCCTAATTAATGCCTTTTCACCTACTATTACCTTGACAAGATCAAGTCCCTGATTAAATAGGACACAGGAGAGAAATAGAAAATGGGAAAGAATGGAAAGAGAAGGAAAAGATATCAAAAAAATACAAACCACTCATGATTGGTCCTGGGCAGCCACATGTATTGCAGCCACTAAATGTATTGGGGAGAAGAAAGGAAGGAGGGGCACCACAATAATAGAAACAGAATTAAAAAAAAATGATTATTTCACAAGTTTACCTCACTAGCTCAACATATAGATTTCCAAAATTGTTAGAGAAACGTTATCTACACCACATTTCTAAAGCCTGCCTATATGACTGACCACCTATTCTAGTCATGCTACAATCCAAGTTACAAAGATTAACAGCAAATAAAGTCTAAATTATCTGGGGTAAAAAAAAACAACAACAGCAGTACTTCAGTCAAGGACAAGATATCCAAAGTAGTTTTAAAAGCAATGTTTTAATTTCACCCAATGCCAGGAAAGCCAAACAACTAAACTCTGGATGTGTGTACTTGTTGTACAGACACACCTAGCATTAGAG